CCGCATGAATGAAATGCAAAATTTGCTTCAGTCTACAACTGGGGCTAGATTGCCGAAATGTATTGTTAGCAGCATTGCAGTCTGCAACTTTTAGCATAAAACGAGTAATGGGAATCTTAATTTTACAACTTTTTGTTTCAGATGTTTGATGAAGTCGTTATATTTGTACTTTAGGATACGTATTTTTCCTTTCTTTCTCACTGATGAGATTCCTGATTTGCCTTCGTCCACTACTAAGGAATTCTCTTTTTTTTTTTCACTAGTATCGTTGACAATCTAGTGTTAGGCATCAAATTTGTGATTTTTTCAGTTCTTCAGACAATTGCATATTAATGCGTTACAGAAGGAGGTTTTGTTTAGGTAAGATTGAATTTTTAGGTGAAAGTTAAGTGTGGTACGTGTGGGTTTTTTTTTAAGATATCGAGAGCTGATTGGGGCGAAGTCAGGAATTTAGCGTAAGAGAAGAATTGGAAGTAGAGGCAAAAAAGTTGGCGTTGAGATTCTCGTCAAAGAGCGTCATAGACCGCAATAGTTTTTTGGAGTGTTATGTGTAGTGTGCTAAAAGCTTTTACTAATTCGTTTCTATAGTAATGCGGCGACTTTCAGTATGGAGTGTCGTATGCTTCAGAATTGAGCTCTACCAGGCGAGTTTACATCAGTAGTATGATAAGTTTAAACAATGAGTAGCAACAAGTAGAGCTGTAACTTGGCATTAGAAGGAGCAAAGATAGGTAATCAGAAAACAAAAGAAAGCAAATAAAGTAGTTTTTGTCTCCAAGAGTCTGTTAATTTTCCACTTCCTTACCAGATTTATAGTATTTTGAAACGGACAAGATAGCAGAAATAATTTTTGAATATTTGTAGTGAGTGTTATTCAATTTATCAGCTGCCTCCCCTTTTCTCACTACCTTGAATCATTTTTTGCCATTTTCTATCCGGGATCCGCAGCAGCGCTAAATTCGTCTTTACCATTTCCGATTAGGAGTGTATAAATTATTCGACTTTTTTTAAGGAAATGTTTATTTATTTTAATTACTGTTAAACAGCGATTTAGCTGCTAATTCACACCGGTGTTACCCGATACTTGGAATTCAAATCAATAGATGGTTCCTATGTGTATAAAGGTGGAAAAGTCTACAAAGTACCTGCTGACGAAATGGAAGCACTTTCGACTAGTTAGCTTTTGTTTTTGCATTGGATTTTTGGATTTGTTGCTTTTCTGCGCTCTTAATTATTCAAATTTTCATAAATAGTGGTACTTTTGCAATTTAGGTCTTATGGGAATCTTTGAAAAACGTCGTTTCAAGAAATTCCTTGTATGGGTGCAAAATTTTGATATTGATAACAAGTCGACTTACGAAGGAATGGATCCTCATTCAAATACGATGCAGCAGGTAATTTAATGTGGAATAGCATTTATTGGTATCGCAGACTGCTGCATTTAACGTTGAGCTTTTGATTGATCCAACCTTTTGTTTAAATTAAATAACGAAAGTTAGATGTTTTTTTGCGGGACAGTTTATTTTCTATCATTGAAATTTTCGGAAGGATTAGTTAGCCTTTCTTAAAGGTATATGAAAAATTTGGTTTGGACGAGAATACTGCTGATTTTACGGGGCACGCGCTCGCACTTTACCGTGACGATAAGTAAGATGAACTGTGTCGTTTTTACATTAAATTTCTGATTATCAATCCTTAATTCTATTTTGCATGAAATGAAATTTTCTGGTGTTTCTTCCCAGAATTGTCTTTTATTCAGTTATAAGAACGAACCTTTTGGTCCTACTGTGGAAAAAATACGCTTATACTCAGATTCTCTTGCCCGTTACGGGAAGTCACCATACCTTTATCCTCTGTATGGGCTTGGAGAGTTGCCACAAGGATTTGCCCGGTCGGTGTCAACTGAAGTTTTATACTAAAACAGTCTTTTCAATTAGTCTTTCCGCACTATTTTTATTCTCGCAGACATTGCGTTTCTTCTAGCAGTTATGTATTGGCCGAGATCGCGACCATTTATAAATGCTCGTTGGAGTCTATAAACTTTTTCAGTTTGAGTGCTATTTATGGCGGAACATATATGCTAGATAAACCGGTCGATGGCCTTGTTTTTGAAGGCGGGAAAGTTGTTGGGGTGAGAAGTGGGAACGAAGTAGCCCGTTGCAAGCAGGTTAGTTTTGAGCTGCTGAATGGCGTCGTTATTACTAATTTAGAGTCAGTGGTTCAAGTTGTAGGTCTATTGTGACCCTTCATATGCGACTGATAGAGTAAAGAAAGTTGGACAAGTGATTCGAGCCATCTGTCTTCTGAATCATCCAATTCCAAACACAAACGATGCTCCAAGCTGTCAAATCATTATTCCTCAAAAGCAAGTAAATCGTCGCTCAGGTAACTAGTATGTTTGCTCTGTGAAGGGATCAGTATTAAAGTGTAAAGAGAAGAAAGAAGTTTATATTGCCTTCCCTTTCTCAGACATCTACATTTCTCTGGTGTCGAATGCTAACATGGTCGCACCCAAAGCATGGTATATTGCAATGGTTTCTACCACCGTCGAGACAAACAACCCGGAGGCGGAGATTATGCCTGGACTGCAGTTACTTGGTTCAATTATACAGAAGTAAGGCTTTCTTATCAAAACTTTCAATTAATTGGCCATTCATGTAATGCCCGTTGCTACTCATCCAATGGACTCGTTTACAGATTTGTAAGCATCAGTGATGTGTTCGAACCTACAGATATGGGTGAAGAGTCGCAAGTATTTATTTCGCGTTCTTATGATCCCACAACCCACTTTGAAACCACTTGCCAAGATGTCTTGAATATTTTCCAACGTGGCACTGCTGAACAGTTTGACTTCTCCAAAATCACCCATCTCTCCCTCGAAGATAAGGAGTAATCATTTTTCTTTTGTAAACCCTAATTTCTTCACTTCAATTTTACCAAGTTTTGGTGAATTGGCTTCTAAAAAAATCTTTTGAGAAGGATTTGGTAATGGTGTCATTATTCCACTGAAATTCTGCTATATTTCATTACTATTATTTTACAGCTTTTCCACCTTTATGCTGCTGCTTGGTTGTCTTTATAAGTTGTGTACGTTTAAGCATTTGTTGTTTCCCTAAACCATTCCTTTTTTTAATTTCCAGGTCTAATTTATTTTAGTTCCTTCGATGACGCTTTTTGAGTTCACTGTAACATGCATTTTCAAATTCCAATAAATGGAAAAGATTGTTACTCCATTCTGTCTTGCTCTCGAGCTTCGATATTTTCTGTAAAAACTTAAAATTCTCTTGGCTACAATTTTGAGATTACACCACGTAGCACATACAGTATCAATTATTTCGAGTAAAATTCAGCATCCGGAGGAAGAGATCAAAAACTTTAATGAAACACATATGAACAAGTAAGCGATGAGCAGTACCTGTTATGTACATATTCCGGACATGAAATTAACGTATTATTGTATTCTTTTGACAAAGTGTTTGCCCATCTAAGGTACTTGAGGTTTTGGCTCTGTGACGCAGGCGAGAAAGAATGTCGATAAACAGAACAAAGGACAAGACTAAAAAGACCAATTCTCTGTATAAGCACTTTGCTGGAACAAGTTCTAAATCCTGGAGTCATCACGAGGCGTTGCCCTGATTAGTCGGACTTCACTTTTAGGTCTATCACTGTTGTCTGTATCAACCATTCCCATCCTCTGAACAACCTGAAAGGGGGGGATTTGGTCAAGAATAAATTTCTGCGAAACAGCATGCAACACTGATATCCAACCTTCATTCCAGCAGCAACTCTTCCGAAAATAGTGTGCTTGCCATCGAGATGTTGTGCAGGGGCTAAAGTTATAAAGAACTGAGATCCATTGGTATTTGGACCAGCATTAGCCATAGAAATGACACCAGCACCTGTGTGCTTCAGTCTGTCATCAATTTCATCGGGAAAGACATCACCGTATATAGAGGCTCCTCCGCGGCCTGAAAATTCAACCATAAAAATGCGTTTAAAGATATTAAATGATCCAATAAAAAATGACTCAGTACTGATACCAGTCCCCGTTGGATCTCCTCCTTGAACCATGAAGCCAGCTATTATCCGATGGAAAATGGTATTATTGTAGTAACCACGGCGAGCTAATTCAGCAAAATTTCTACATGTTTTTGGTGCGTGATCCCAGTAAAGTTCAATACTGACTGACCCCATACTGTAAAAAAGAAAGAAAAGGAAAACGGAAACTTCTAAAGTATGCATGGGATTCTTTTGGTAAACAACGACCATAACTAATACGGACTGGCTTTTCAATCAAATATTTACACAGGCAACAGAAAATGACTTGAAACCGCAGTAGCATCGATAAATATTATTGACGTAAAGAAAATCCCTCAAAATTACCTTGTTTCGAGCTTCACAAAAGGTGACTTTGACGTGGCTGGACTATCTATAGAAGGCATGTTTCCTGTAACTCAAAAACATAACGGACTTATCAAAAAATACTGAGCATAAGTACAAACATGTTCCCGCATTCACATTCGCAATTATACTAAGGGATGTACCTGGAGCTTATCTAAGCCACGCCCTTAAAATATGCTAAAACTTTTAAGTTGCTTATGTTCATGATTCGCTACCTATCGTATATCGGTTCTTATATCTTTAAGTTTAGATTTCGGTGTTGTCATCTCCTTCTCCAGCCAAAATGTGAGAGTAACTTTAATTTTTATATATGCTTTTTAAAAGTATAACTGCAATAACTTTATTAAATGCTCGCATATTGCAGTTGTTGTTTTACTTGCTTTAATATTCGTTTAAATTACTTTAAGAATATGTAAAAAACCAGTCGTGAACGACAAGTTAATCGAGATAAAAGCACATGAAATTATGTGAGGAATAAATAGTAAGGTTTAAAGAATTAGATACAATATGTTTTCTTCCTTTTTTCTCCTCGTTCCTTCTTATTTTAGTTTAGTATTCGTAAGTTTTAAAGCAATATTTCTTAAAATCTGCTTGTCTAGTAAAATACTGTATTCCTCCAATAATTTCATAAGCCTCTATCTCGGCTAACTCATCGCTTACAATTGAATTTTTTTACGTTTTCTTATACTGCTTTAGTCGGAGATTACATTACTGAAAACAGTTACAGCTACACTAGAAAAAACTTGTGTAAAAATTAATTACCCTCACCTTTCGGCTGAAAAAGGAAATGAAGTTAAGAAATTGTAAATATAAGAGATAAAACAATAACAAACAATGTGCAGTCGGTTAAAAGTAATGAACACAGGTAACTTACAAGTTTGGCATACTTTAAGGTGGTGACTCGGATAACCTTTCGGCACCTCCGAATGACGTGGCATTGTGCCAAAGCCGCTGGAATTTTTTCTGTAGGAAAGGATATTTCGTCCCCGCAAAATTTCACACCAAATTAGGAATGAATTCCTCTATATATAGGCGGATTCAATCCTAATTTCCACTGAGCGGAA